TAATAACAGTCAAGGTCGAAAATTCTATTATCTCTTCAAGATTTAAATTGAAAATTGAAAAAAAAAGGAAAAAAAATTTGTTTCTATTACTGCATTATTTTCTTGTTTAATATACACAAAAAACGTTTCTGACTTTTCTCAAGTTACACTGATATAACTTTTTTCTTACAAGATTTCTCGCTCTTTGGTCTATCGAATATTAAAAGTAAATTCGCGTTTGCCTTTAAATTGGCTTTAGTAGATTGAATTAATCTGTCGAGACATAAATCGCCAAAGTGTATGTTTAGATAGTTTTTGCAAGATTTGATCGGTAGATCCAAAGTGAAATTATTTTCTGTTTATATGGTCAGAAAGAGAATAGTCTTAGCTACAAAGTGGTTGTCAGAAATTATTTTTATTTAGGATTGATCAGAAAAACGCCAAGAATCTAAATTTGATGAGCTTCAGTAAGGATCGGAACCGGTAAAAAACTAAAAAAATATTTTCAAGTTAAGTATGAAAACATTTTTTCTGTATGGGCACTATATCTAAATAGTACATTAGACAGAAAGCAACACACAAATAATTTATATTCACACTGTCTCAAGCAAAATTGAATGAAATAAAATGAATTTTTCTGTTGCTGTGTGTCCTTGTGTTTGAAATTCTCTAGTCTGCATATCTTCTGTCATAAGTACAACTATTTGTTTCAATGAGTGAAACATAAATCGACTAGATTCTAAGTGTAAACAGAAGATGATGGACCGGAGAAGTAGACGTCACTATGAAAGCGGCTAGCCATGAGTGGCGCCCCGGAGAGGTGCCGACGAAGGAGTAGTTGCTGGTCTGTACCATTACTCGGAGGTGAGCTTCGCAGAGTGTCGTAGTTCATAGAAAAATAGCCTATCTTTGTGGTTCAATCAATTGGTATCATATGCAAAAGCGACAAAAACTAGCAAGTTTTTCTCTAAATCAGTTTCGAGAAAAAACTTTTCTGCAGAAGTGAAACATCTTGAACATGCATTTGATGAAATGCATGTGTTAGCGCATTTGTATTAACATATCTTCTATGTGGATAAAAAATGCGGATGTTTCGTGATCTAAATTGAAAAGATAATCGCTTTGAAAACCAGTCTAAAAATAACTGAGACGCTCATATAACATTAAAGGCTTGTTTCGCAAACGGCAACGATAGAAATCGAACGTCAAATAATATTACTGAACAAATTGTATATAAATGTTGTGAATTAGAGTGCGAAGCGATTTATATGCATTTGTGGAATATCATTAAACGTTGGTTATAAAAGAGAAGAAGCAATTAAATACTACGGTAACACTTAGTTAACTTGGACATTTGTTACTTTACTCAAAGGCATTCTTTAAATAGATCTAGTTTGAAATTTCTCATTGAGAAGTTTTTTTTATAGTAATAGAATAGTCTTTCGTAAAGTGCCCCATGAGAGTTGATTGAATTGCAATCTGAATTGGACGATTAGTTGGTATAGGAGATATAAACATGGTAGCGACTAGCCGTGAGTGGCACCTCAGAGGGCTGCCGACGATCGACTAGTCGCTGGCCTGTATAATTTATTTAAGGCACGCATTTTTTTTACAATATCCAATCCTTGTTCATTTAACTATTTCTACTTTCCTGCTTTTGTAATTAATAGTGAAAGCATTAAGAGTGTGATATGCAGAAATTTCGATATGACGCGGAACATTTAGAAATATCTTGAATTGAAGTTATAGCCGATAGTTAACGACGGAAACTTCTCGTTAGCATTCTTATCAAGAATTATTTTGCTATAAATCAAATAGTTTTCTGCGAGATATGTGTCAACGTCTCTTATTTACAGGTAAATCATTTGTTTGTAGATGTATCGAAACCAATCTATGAGCAGGAAGCTAACGACTAGCAGGTAGTGATCTATTGCTCGTGAGATATTTCACAGATATGAGTGTAAAATTAATCAATCGAGGGGCAGCAGTCCTACATTTTCCTGATCTTTTGAGCATGCACGATGAACAATGAATGTTACAGTTTCAACAATAAATATTATTTTGAAAAAATAAAGAATTAGTTAGAATCAAATGTTATTGTAGCATCAGTAGCATCGCATACATCGGCGAATTATTTGACAATAATTCCCAAGATGAATAGAAAGAGTTCAGTCGAGGGTCAAGCGAGTCGTAACGACGAGCGTTATCTTGTATGTACACGATGATATTCAAAGAGATTTTATTGGAAATCACCGAAGATACTAAAAAAGCTATGGAGAAGTTAGTAGAATATGGCCGTCAAAAAGGTGTTCGCGAATCTCAATTATTGGAGTTCCAGCGTGGCTATAATGAGAAAAGTCCCGTTTGGTGGTATACTCGTCCAATATTTTTATATGATATGCTGAACCTATCATTGCGATCACTTGACACACAAGCAATGATGACATTAGGATTTTTCATCCGTGATCTTCATCGACAATTGCAGCAGTTGTACGAAAACCAACGGAGTACTTTTGTAAACCGTTTTATCGTATATCGCGGTCAGGGTCTAAGCAACGAGAATATCCAGCATTTACTCGGTATAAAAGGTGGCTTGCTTGCGTTTAACAACTTTTTATCAACAAGCACAAAACAGCAGATTGCTATGAGATTCGTGGAACGTGCCATGCAGAAAAATAAAGACATCGTAGGTGTTGTTTTCATCATGACAATTGATCTAAATAAAATATCGACGACGACTACTCCATTTGCACTTATCGAAGAATACAGTGCTATTAAAACTGAAAAAGAAATTCTCTTTTCAATGCATACTGTTTTTCGTGTCGATGATATCAAACAATCAGTTAGCAATAGTCGTCTTTGGGAAGTTCAATTGAGTCTCACCAGCGACAATGATCCACAATTGGCTGCTCTTACTAATCACATACGAGAGGATGCTCAAGGATCCACCGGATGGCATCGCCTGGGGCATTTGATGATCAAAGTGGGTCACTACAACCAAGCTGAAGAACTCTACAATGAATTACTCAAAAAAGCTTCCAGTGACAGTGATAGAGCACTTATTTATCCCCAGCTTGGAATTTTGAAATTACAACAAGGAAAATATAACGAAGCAGTCTCATTTTATGAAAAGTCACTCGAAATCAAGAGAAAAGCTTTTCCAGAAGATCATTCTTTCTTGGCAAAGGCCTGCAATAACATTGGTTTTGCGTATAAGAGCATGGGTGACTACTCGAAAGCACTTGAATTTTACGAAAAAGCACATAAAATACTCGAAAAAGCTCTGCCTCCAAATCATCTCTCATTGGCTACTCTCTACAGCAACATCGGTGTAGTGTATAAAAACTTGGGTGACTACTCGAAAGCACTTGAATCTTACGAAAGAGCACATAAAATCTACGAAAAAGCTCTACCTCCGAATCATCCTGAATTGGCTGCTTCCTACAGCAACATCGGTGAAGTGTATCGCATCATGAGTGACTACTCGAAAGCACTTGAATTTTACGAAAAAACACATAAAATGTACGAAAAAGCTCTGCCTCCGAATCATCCCGATTTGGCTTCTTCCTATAACAACATCGGTTTGGTGTATGATGATATGGGTGACTATTCAAAAGCACTTGAATTTTACGAAAAAGCACATAAAACCTATGAAAAAGCTCTGCCTCCGAATCATCCCAATTTGGCTACTTCACACAACAACATCGGCGGAGTGTATAACAGCATGGGTGACCACTCGAAAGCACTTGAGTTTTACGAAAAAGCACATAAAATCCTTGAAAAAGCTCTGCCTCCGAATCATCCCAATTTGGCTACTTCCTACAACAACATCGGTGAAGTGTATGATGACATGGGTGCCTACTCGAAAGCACTTGAATTTTACGAAAAATCATATAAAATAAAAGAAAAAGCTCTGCCTTCGAATCATCCCTCACTGGCTACTTCCTACAGCAACATCGGTCTCGTGTATAAGAGCATGGGTGACTACTCAAAAGCACTTGAATTCTATATAAAAGCACTTAAAATAAGAGAAAAAGCCCTGCCTCCGAACCATCCCTCACTGGCCACTTCCTACAACAACATCGGAATGGCGTATCTCGGCAAAGGAGATTACTCAAAAGCACTCTCATTCTTAGAAAAGGCACTTGTTATCTTCCAAAAATCACTCCGACCTAATCATCCTGATATTAAAACAGTCACAAACACAATTGACTATGTAAAAAAGAAAATGTAATTGTAATTTTTTCTTTTCGCTTGCTCAATAAATTTATTCACATTGCTAATCGTTTCGATTTGTCTCGGCTCATTTTGGCTTACCCGCGCGCGCGCGACAAGGGAGAGATCCCTTGTCAATGCCATAGGTGCCACAGGCGGACCACGCCGGACTGGTAGGGCAATGGCCGAAGGTATGCCGTATTAACACGGTAGGAACCAACGACTCATAGAGGCCTTCCCTAGTACTACACTGCTTCGCTATGGCAAAGTTCCTGTCCCTATTGAATCAGATAACGTAGCTATCTGACCCACATTGATAACTCAACTCAACTCATCTCAAATAAACTCATACTCATAGTCATAAATAACTGACAGTATTTATTTTTTCTCAAAATAACTTACCTCAACTCAACTCAACTGAATATGTAAAAAAATTTTTTTCTATCTCTCAATATTGTATAGTATCGAAACTCATCTAAAAAAAACAGAAAAAAAATTACTATTAAATATATAATGAATTTATTATGTACCTCATATAGAATTTAATAATATCATTATCATTGTAAATAATATAATAGTAATAATAAATAATAATTCCGGGTACATAAATACATTGTAATGCATTATAATGCTACAACTCGAGTGTATGATTTCATAATGATGTATGGTGTTGGCTAATTGTTACGGAATTTCAATTTTTAATCCTCCATAATCTATTTCTCCGCAGCAGTCAAAGCAAATGCTTCGAAATTTCTACCACTAGTAGCGACTCTTATGAGTTATCATCACCATAATTTTTTTTTCATTTCTTTTGAACTTCAGCAAAGTTACAATAAAAATACCAGCCGTTACGAAATTTCAAAAAATGGAACTTTTTTTGTAGAGGCACTTAGAACTTTCTATTTTGCTACGAAAGTAGACAACACGTAGAGAAACACTCAATAGGATAGTTGTGCAATCGTTCATGAACTTTCAGAATATGACCCTATTTTGAGATCCGGAAGTAAGCATTAAATAGAAATTAAAAAAATATCACTCGTTACGGAATTTCATTCGTTATAGAACAGAGACCGTCATCAGGTCAGAGCTGCCCTGTTGCCCTGTACTGCACTGCCCTGTACTTCAGAGCAAACTTCTTTTTTGCCCTGTCCTGTTTGCTCTGCAGGGCGACCTAAGAAAAGCACAGGACAGGGCAGGGGTGTGTGTGAGTGTGGGTGTGGGTGGGTGTGGGTGGGTGTGGGTGTGGGTGGGTGTGTGCGGATGGGTGTGGGTATGGGTGGGTGGGTGTGTGTGGGTGTGGGTGTGGGTGTGGGTGGGTGTGGGTGGGTGTGGGTGGGTGTGAGTGCGGGTGCTGTCTTTTATTCAGCCACATCCACTTCCACATCCACATCCACACCCACACTCACACCCACACCCCCACACCCACACCCACACCCACGCCCACACCCACATCCACGCCCACACCCACACCCACCCACCTCTTCAAATGGGATTTGCGAGTATTTATCAGACAATTGTTGAT